GGCGGCGGCGGCGGCGGTCCCGGCGGCGGCTGGGGCGGCGTGCGCGAGCTGGAGAAGTGGCGCAAGTACAGACACGAGGGGCCCGAGGTCTCTGGTAACCGCGGCCCTGGGTACGGCATGGTCTACGGCAAGGAGGAGATGCAGGGGAGACACGAGCGGCAGCAGCACGACCCGCCAACGGCGCAGGGAACGGACAGCAACGAAGATGCCAGGGGCCAGCAGCCTCGTGGCGGCCGTGGCGGCGGCGGGTACAGGAAAGATGCGGACCGTCGGCCTCGCAGCCGCAGCAGGAGTCCAGGGCGAGGCCGGGTCGAGCGGGACAGGGGCCGCGATCGGGACCGGGAGCGAGACATGAACCGAGACCGGGATCGCGACCATGCTCGCAACCGCAGCCGCGAGGGCCGTCGTCGAGACTGAGACCGTGACCGTGACCGTGACCGGAATCACGACCGGCGGCACGAAAGGGATAGGAGAGACGACTACCGCGGGCGACGCTGATGCCTTGTAGGTTTAACATTAAAAAGCCTAGACGCGCGGCAACAGGCGCCATGGCCGGAGCAACGTTGCTAATTTTTCCTTGGTGAAAAAGCTCCCTTGCAGACTGTGGCAGCATCATGCCGTGCCTTCTCTCCCTCCGTGCCATCCCTTGTTTTGTTTCCCTATATGCTACGGCCGAGATCATGTAACCAACCCTATCGACGTCGCACCTCGTCCTCTCTCGTCTTTGCGCCATCGAGATATGCCGGCCCCGGTCGTGTCGCAGCTCGCCGATACCCGTCCGGCTGCCTCCACAATCCTCCGGGCTGGCGCGGGATGAACGCCCGTCGGGAGCCTGCGACCCCGGGGATCGAGGTGAGCTAGCGAGCTGGATGGGATGGCTGAGGACGCTGGTTGGTTACGGGTGGTCGAGCAAGGCTCGAGTCGCAGCGGCCCAAAGCAGCATTTTTGCCCCATTGGCACCCAAACCATTCCGTATTGCCCATGGTGGACGTTCTCGTTATCGCTCTTGTCGTCCATCTACGTGTACGTTTACATGTCGCCCAGTGTGCTTCGCCCGCCAGACAGCCAGCGCTGCTGGTTGGTCTCTGGCATATCGAGGGGGCCTCGCTTACCTACGCCCGTGTCCTGCCCGGCTGCAGTCGCCGGAACGCGTGTTGCAAGCCAAGGGCCCGCCCGAGGCCTCTGGAGACGGCGAATGGCGTCACTGCGCATGGGACGTCAGCTGGGGGGCCATGCAGAGCAGCAGGACCACCGCCCGGGCTAGTGCTCACACACACACACACACTCTCTCTCTCTCTCTCACCATCCCTGCCTGCGGCATGACACGGCTTACAGTCCTGGCCCGGGCGATTTCCCCGGACTAGCGGCCGGTGTCCCGAGATCTATCTCAGGCTGCCATACCGTGGCTCGGTCAGACGAGACACAAGAGGCACAGCCCTGCTGCTTTCCTCCTGTCCCTTGCCTCCGGGTGGGCGCCCCAGCCCCCCCTGGTCCTGTTCCGGAAAGCTGCGCTCCCGGTCCGCGAATAGAGAGAGCGGGGGGCTGTGAATCACTGCGAGAAGAGCCCGGCCGACCGCCGACACGTCCGGCTAGGTGAGGAAGGAAGGGGTGGGGCATCACATGCCTGGGATTTCCTAACCCCTGATCAGACCTGCTCTACGGCCTTATGTCCATCCCTTGGCCTTTTGCCAGCCAGCCACCGCCAGAACTTTTTTGGCCTTCTGGCCGTTGACTGGCTCGAGGCCCCATAGGTTTGGGTTGTTGGAGGGGGCGTGCGAGGACGAGTTGCATGGTCTATCTTCTCAGACTTGCAGACACGAACTTGTTCGTTGGCATTTTGTCTCTCGTCTTCGTTTTTCTCTCTCTTTTCTTCCGGTGACGCACAATTGGGCATTTCCATTACCTTTCTCCTTCTTCTCTCCCATGCGCCCTGCCTGCCCGCCTGCGTCGAGGTGGCTCACGAGACGGATGCGTGACCGTCCTTCGCACACGTGATGACGACGACGATTTCCACCTTCCCGGACACGCCCAGGAAAACATGGCAGACGGGGCGAGGGGGCCACAGAAGGCCGGATCGAGCTCGGAAGCGCGCAGATTCCTGCAACTTCCCGCGCCCAGCCCAGTCTAGCGTCCGGATCCCCCCTTTTTTTTGTCCTCCCCCTTCGCCGTGGGGCCGTGAGGGCCTAGGCAGGCTGGCCACGTTTCGCCTCTACGGGGGCGGGCATTTCGAATTTCTGCAAGTCGAATAATCGCATTCCCTTTGGCCTGGCCTGGCCTGGCCGTCCACACGGAACGAAGCGACATGGGGCATAGGGCATGTACAAGGGGAGCAACGGCTATTTGCGGGTGGCGCTAGGATCTCGGTTTTCGTGAGATGGGGGCTTTTTCTCTTTCTCTCTCTGCTCTCTCTGGTCCCGCCTCGCTCAGAAGGTCACTGGACCTGGCCACCTTGGGCCGCCCGCCTGACCGGGTGCTGGCTTACACCACATGGGCCTCTAGCCACGGGAGGCTCCATCCGGCCGCCGCTGGCCCACTGGCTGCAGGCGCTGGCATTAACTGTGTGCTAACCGTGTGCAGTCCCGTGCCTTGTTGTTGTTGCTGGCTGCCATGTCCTCTCCTGTCTGTATGTTTCAGGCCCGGCCGCCCGTCCCTCGGGCTGCGGCATTGTCGACCCGACGAGATGCTGCAATGGCGCCGCCCTCTGCGTGTCTTTGGCGGCCTTGTCTCGTGACTGGCTGCCTTGGCTCCAGCATCCCAATCGTCTCCACCCGAAAGCCCACTCCCCCAATCCTCGTGCTCCTGTCGTGGCTGGGAAAGCCTCTTTTGTTTCATGCGACTGGTCCTCTCAACGACTGGTCCTCTCGACGTGCGGTGACCCGTGTAACCTCGTCTCTGCCATTCGCCTCTGCTTTTATCCGGCCGTCTTTCATTGCTGAGGCCGGCCAGTGGCGACTCCCACTCCCCACCTCTATGCTCGCCGCTCGTTCTCGCTTCCTCTCTCCCTCTCTTTCGCTGCCTGTTTACCATTCGCTTCTCTAGCCGCTATAACGACGTTGCAGTGGGGGGAGAGTTGCCTGCCCAAAGCCCTGCTCCGAGTCCGCAAAGGCTGCTTGTTGCTCACCGAGCGGCGATAGCTGGCTTGGCAGGGGATAGCCTCGGCCGGACCTCGCCTCGCCTAGCTGGCGCTCTTTTGCTTTTTCTTTTTTTCTTCTTTTTTTCTTTCTTTTTCTTTCTTTTTCTTCCGGACCAGTCATTGGTCGTATCGCCTCGCTGTGCATTTACACGCTCGTGGTGGCACAGAGGTGCTGTTGGGTTGCCGCCACCGCACCACACGTCTACCTACCGGATGCCAATCCATATCACACCTCGGACCGTGTTGGCCCCCCTCCCTCGGGGACTAGAAGTGCTGGTTGACTGACCGGTCGCGCCTACGTGTGTGTGTGTGTGTGTGTGTGTGCCAACAAACACGCACAGGCAAACGTTTTGGGCTTAGGAGGTTGTCGAGGAGGCAGCCAAGCTGATGTCGTGTGGTTGAGTGGCAGGGTGGGTGTGTGAGGGCCGCTGCCGGCCGGAATGAACCACAACCACCACAACCACCACAACCACCACAACCACCACGGCCAGACACGTATGCTTTTGCTCAACTGCCCACCCTTCGCCTTGGGCAGGCCCGCGTTTTAGCGCTGCGGGCTCGGACCGGGGAGGAGGAGACGGCAGTGCCGCTGTGCGACAACGCTGTTGGCCGCGCGCGAGTGGATTGCCTCTTTGACCGCGGCTGCAACCCCATCTTTTGAAGGTTGATGGTCGGGTTCCTTCACTTCATTGCTTTTCACTTCTTCGTTTTCTTCCAGCTCTCCTATCCGGCAGACATTAATGCCATCTCGACGTGTCCCAACCCGATACATGACAAAAAGTAACAGCGAAGCATACCATCGATCAAATGTCCTTTTACCAGAACTACCAACTACCTGTCCTGATTGGGCAAGGTCCGCAAGAGGGTCGTCTTTCAAGGCGATACGCCGCGAGAACAGGCCAGCTCGGCAAGGTCTCGGCCTTTTTTCTTCTCGTGACGAGGGGCAAGGCACAGCATTGCTCTGATCTGGCCCATTTCAGCCCCGAATCTCGACGGGAGGGAATGGGGGCGTCATCTTTAGCTTCCAGATTTGAGATGAGATTAGCGAGTGGCGGCGGCGACGGTGTGCCAATGATGACGATGAGGCGGTCTGTCTGGGGGAGGTCAGCCTCGAGGGAGGACAACCTCACTCCAAAAAAAAAAAACAAAAAAACAAAAAAAAAAAGCAAAAAGAATAAAAACGGTTCGGCTGGGTCAACTGCCGACCGTTGCTGATGCAGCAGCCGCCGTCACCAAGCCGTGACATCCGAGAAAGAGGCGACTCTCTTGCTTTTTCTCTGACCGGCGTCTCCTTGGGCCACTCCCTCCTGGCCTCCTGGCGGGCGCCACGGTGCTGGGCCACCGGTTCGTCGTGGAGCCGGGCTGTGGCTTTACCTGTTGCGGCCGTGACCGCCGCCAAAATCTCACCCACGGGCGACCGGTCTACAGAGTGTGATTTCCTTTTTGGTGGGGGAGTGTGTGCAACCTGGACTGTGGATGGTGGGTGGACTTTCTCTATTACTGTTTGTCTGTCTATCTGCTGTCCGAGTTCCCTTTCTAGGGTTGCCCGCCATCCCGATCACCGCTGCCGGCGGAGCCCCCTGGAGATCTGGGGGGTTGCTCTCGTGGGATCCGCGTGGGGTTTGCCGAAAAAAAAGGCGCCCTGGAAGTGATACACCACCATCCTGGCAGCTTACGGAATGTGGCTGCAATAGTGGGCTGATGTTTTTCTGTTCCTCTTCATCTTACTTCTTTTTGCTCTAGAAGCCACCGTTCCATCCATCTCCTCCTCACCTTGGGTCGCTGGCGCAGAGCAAAAGAGACGAGGACGGGCAACGAGGTGGGCGCCTCTCGCTCAGCTTGCGTGACCCTCCTAGAGATGAGCGCGGGCACCCTCTGCAGGCTGGTGCAACCACACCCGCGGGTACGTGCAGGCTCACATCCTGACAGGCAGCAGGTGCGTGGCCCAAAAAAGAAATGCTGGGCGGGCGTGTCACAACAATCTGTCTCTCACCCACGCCACTCTCTCCCCTTTCCTCTCTTTGTTATCGCCTGCATCGTTCCGAGACTTGCTAGACGGGATTGGCTTTGTTAAGGCCAGCCCTCGTAGTATCTCGCAAAATGCAAGCGCCCGACCCACGACTTCCCGTCGCGCATCTCTCCATCGGCTCCCCTTTTTTTTTTTTTCCCTTCTGTCGCCATCTAACTCAGCTGGTTCCCGTCTCTGCCGCCCCCGGTGCCGTCTTCCAGACGCTTCCCTCCCCCGGGTCCATGCAGGCAGTCTAAACCTGGTGGATCTCCCTCTTTCCACGCTGGTGCTTGCTGCCCCCCCGGACGACGCTTCCGGCCCCCGGGGGTGGGTGACATCCAGCTGGAAGAGGCTGCCGCCACCCGCACGACTGTCTGTCGACCCGGGCTCTGGTGGCGTCTGGCCGTCGCCCCCGTCGTTGTGCTGCCGCGTCGTCCCTAGTTCCGGGCAAGTCGAGCCGGGTTCCCGGAGTCGTGGACGCTTCATCCAGATTAGAAAGCCCATGCATTGTATATTTGCATATCCCCTACCATGTTAGCGGCAGCAGCAGCAGCAGCAGCAGCCTAGGCAAAAAAAGAACACAGGCCTTGCCCTCCACCCACACCCCCCCTCGTCTCTCCCAGGCGCCGCGGCGGTGGCACGACTGCGCTGCTGTGTCTTGCGCGCGCGCATCAGCAGCAACAGGGGGGAGGCAGCAACACGGCGCGGGACTGGCATCTGTCTGTGCAATGTCCGCCATCAGATATCAGATTTGCTGCCATCGCACAAGGCCCGTAGGCGAAGGAATAGGGGGTTGGATGGGCCTGCCTGCCCGACTCGGGCTGCGGTAGGAAGGGAAAAAGGGACTTTGCGTCGGATAGTGTGCACGTCCCGGCCTTGTCCGCGGGGGCGCCCGTCCATCTCCGATCCGAAGACTCGGCCCATTTTCATGCCTTTGTTTTTGCTTTTCCTTTTGCTTTTTCTTTTCTGTCCTAGCTGGTAGCCGAGGGCATGTATCAGCGGCAGAAAGAGAAAAGTAGGCAGCGCAAAAAAAAAGAAAAAAAAAAAAGAAAAAAAAAAAAGAAAAAAAAAAAAAGAAAAAGTCGCTGCCGATGCGTCCAGCATGTCGTCTCCCGGAAGCTGGCCCCGGCCCAGCAGACTGCCGCCATGAGGAGGTCATGCTCGCCCATTTGGGCTTAGAGGGCGGCCGCCGTCCAGACGTTGCAAAACCCCGGGCGGGCCTCCACTGGCCTGCCGCTACCCCGTCTGTGTCTGTCCATGGGGGGGTGTGTGCCATGGCACGGCCGATATCCCCAGCATGCTGCGCTACAACGCCACACGTCATTAGCCAACATGGGGGAGGAGGGCCCGAGTAGATAGACACAGGCATGCATGGGCCAGGGAAGGAAGCATGCGTCGGTAGACACTCCGCTGCCGCGACGACGACGGGGCATCCTGCTGCCGTCCAGTTACGGGTTCCGTGCTGGCTCGCCCGTCACGCGGTGCCGTCCTTGAGTCCCGGGCTTCCTATTTCGCTGCATGAGGCCAAGGCGACGAACGGCCAGCCATGACGACCCTGGGCCCGACCGCTGTCACATCATCATGCCGCCCCTTCCTTTTCCGTTCCCATGCCGACATCCATATTGGGGACGCGGCGTGGCGGTGCGTGGGGGCTACTGGCCACCACTAGAGACCTATCTATCCTTGCATACTTGCCATGGGCGGCCAGGGAAAAAAAAAGGGGGCTGGTCTCGCCAACCACTCCCGGCAGCACACGTTGTCGCGCGGACGAAAACTCACCGTTCCCGCCGTTGGGGCCAACGTGCACTCGCCCGTGCCGTGATGGACGGCTAGCTGGGGGAGAAATAGATGCGAGTTGGTCCACGGCCAACCGGATAGGGGGAGATCTGCATGTTTGCCCGGTTGCCCCTCTCTCTCTCTCCTCGACCCGAGACGCCGCCGTGTGGCGGAGAGATTAGAGACTGCAAAGGGCGGGTCCCGGATCGGTCACATTTCGTCTTCTTTGCCCTCTCCCGCCGATTCTGGGGGCTTGGAATATGACAGCCTTCGACCCGGGGAATTTGGGCCGCGGCCTCATCCCTGTGTGCATGTGTGGCCCAGTGTCTTGCTATTATTACGACGGTAGGTTGGCGGGCAAGCATCCAGCTCCAGCGTGTACAAGCAGAGGAGCCAGCAGCGAAGCAGGGGACTTCCATGGCGGGCAAACGGCAGGACGGACTGGGCATGCTCATTGCTACCCTCCCCTCCTGGCAGTGACAGGCCAAAACGGTCGCCGCCTGCGAGTGAGGTGGTGCAATCAAAGAGCCGCAATCTATCAAGGGAGCCCCGAGGCCGCGTCGGCGAAGAGAAAAGGGAGAAATGTAACGGCCTTGCTGGGTGTGACTGGGGCGGACATTCCAGTACGCTGTCGGCATTCACCGGTTTACAGGCGGCGGCAGCCGGTGCACACCAGTGCCAGGAGGAGGGAGGGGGGTGGTCCGGAGCGTTTTCTTTTTGACATTTTTGACAGCTGTGACAGCAGCGCCGCCGCGCCTAGTGGGGGGGTTTTCGGCCGGTCCCCTCCTCGTTTCCTCTGCTGCGTACTTTCGCTCTCTCCATCTTCTTCATATCTCGTGCTGTCCTGTTTGCTTGCCCCAATCTGCCCATCAAGCCCGCCATCCTCGTAACCCGGTGGGTGGTAAGTCTCGCCCCGCCCTGGCTGATGCAAACTTGAGTGCAGTAAGCAGTTGGTCGGCCCCCTGACGGCCACGCTTCCACGTCCCCAATTCCGGGTCGTGGACAAACGGCCCCTTCCCCTTCGCCGTTTGTTATGCACAGCTACGGTAAAAGGCATGCCTGGAGTTGTCTGGACCCGAGAAAAAGCCTGGGCGGCGGCGCATCATTCGAGGGGGGCGTCATCCGTGGGTAGGGTACTTGCCGCGCGAGCGCCGCGATAATGGTCACCCACCCTCGCCGTGGGCAGACAAACAAGGCGGGCTGCAGGGGGCTGCCATTGGTCGCCGGCAGGCCAGCGTCGCTTCCGGGGTCCCTCTGCCAGGGGGGTTCGAGCAAACGTACCCAAAATGCAACAACCAGGTGCAGCTTCACTGCAACGACGGAAGGCAAGGAATAATTAAACCCAGCAGACAAACAAAAAGAAAGCCAAGGGGTAAATGTCTCGCAGAACCGCGCTATCAATACGAGGCAGGCCACGGCTGTCCCTTGGCATCCATGTCCAGCAGGTTATGAGCGAATCATGAGTGACTAACCGCTTTGATTGCTTGCCCTCGACTTCTGTTGTAAAACAAACCAGCTTTGACAGACGTAATCAACAAACACGCCTGCACCACAACGACATCCATGACGTGCTTCTAGAAATGAATAAAAGGGCACAAGGGTAAAGAGGAAAACAAACAAGCCAGGTAACTACATTATGAGGAAATGAAGAACAGAAAAGCAAAATGTTTGATGATATCGCCGCCTACAGGCCACATGCCCATGATCCATCTTCTTTGGGAAATTTCCTCCTCTGCTGCGTCACGTTCCCCAGGGCTAGGCCATGGGCCAAGCAGAAGTCGTGATTCTGGCGCCTGGTCCCACCGCAGCCGCGTCCCACGAGCCCAGGCCAAGCTGGCTTCTGCTGTTTGTCTCGCTGCTTGCTCGACGCCGTGGAGATTGGCCACCAGGAGGAGCGAGTGGATACGATGTCAGGGACCACACGTAGGAGAGCACCAGGGGACCTGGGGACGCTTCCAGTCGGACAACTTACAAGGCATCGTAAAAAGTGACAGCTCGGGTTTGATATAAACCCACGCGGGCACAACCACGCGAGGCTTCATGTCGATCAAAAGAACTAGAACACTGCAGAGCTTCGAAGCTGACATGCACCCAAGAGGGGGAAAGGAGACAAGAGAAAAAAGAAGAAGCAGAAGGATGTCATACCCACCTGCTTGCAGCGAGCAGACATGAGTGAGTCTCGGGTGTTGCAGGTGTCACTCTTCTCCCCCACACTCCAAATCAAACTGCCCGATCACTCCTCTTGTGGTGCCTGTCAAACACTGACGGGGGCCACTATCACTTGGGAGCTTGGGAGGAATGCGTCTCCTTCCTGTCTAGCCGCTTGACGTGTGGAAGCACAAAGTCAAGCACAGCATGAGGCCAGGGGACGACAGAACGGAGCAGAGCAGTGGGTTGAGACAAACGATGTACAAGTGCATAACAAATCCACACCACGAATACAACTTTACACACAAGGCACACAAGCACATACGTCCGATACGATATCCTGTATACGGAGTTTACGAAGGATAAACCGATACAGGAGGGATAGACTGCCCATGCCTCGACTGCCCACTCGCACAGAATCAAACGCTAGCCACCGACTGCGTGGGGGCGTAGAAGGACGGATGATTTTGAGGTTGGGGGCGCTCAAGGCGTGGGGTTTCCGTCCAAAGACGGGAAGGGCAGAGGTGAAAGGGGCATGCAGTTCAGTCCCGGAACCTTTGACCCTTGTTCCCCGAGGGTTGGATAGGCCGCTAGAAATCGGAAACGAGCTCATATGTGTCTGGTAGATGACAAAAAGACACGCCTAGTCGGACTCTAGCGCAGGTCCAAGACGCTGCGAGGTTGCCAGGCTTAGACTTTGCTGAAAGCGGAGGACCAACAACACTAGCCTACATGGCTCAGATGGCTGCTATATCGAAAGTTGGGCATAAAAACGTCTTGGATAGTCTCGCCTACATTAATAGCACATTACATCATCTTGGGACCAGCAGCTACTACAAACTGCGCCACTGAGCTCGCTCCGGAATCGGGATGTGACGAGGTCCGATATGTGTTTTTTTCTTTGCATCCACATAATCAAATGGCGGGTTTAATTACATACCCCAGAAAGGACGCACAGGTGTGTATCTTGCGCGGCCCCCATTTCCTAAATAAGATAAAATAAAAGGAGAACAGAAAAAAGAAATAAAAAAGAGACAATGAATAAAAACAGATTGCGGATTCCCCAAAGGGCAGGCATGTTGTTGTGGATTTTCTTCCTGCCCATGCGGCCTTCCGATTTTACAGGTCGGAGGTCCCTGGTGGTGCTTTCCTGGCAAACAGCTGCCATGCGCTGCACGTATGGTAAGGTAGGTACACCCCACCACCACCTTCCAGTAAATTTGGTTTGTTCTCTTGTTTCTTTTTTTTTTTTATCTCCCTCTTTTTTTGTCCTTCCCACCCACCGCAATCCATGGATACCAAAACTTTTGTCCAGGTTTCGGCCCAGGCCCTCGTTTGGGTACCTAAGAAATCAGGTACCTGCGTCGCTTTGGGAGCGCCTCTGCGTCAGGCACGACACGCCACCGACACACTCTCGCTGTACCATTTCCTCAGGCTGGTCTACGTACACGTAGCGCAGCCCTGTTTCGACCTCATGCCTGCCCACCTGGCCCACCAGCAAACGACCAGCACACCTTACAACCACGTCCCCATGTCCGTGCCTTGCCCCCATTGGCCAGGGCCCAGCATCCCCAGCGTCCTCGGCAGCAACGACCTCTCGCCCTTGCGTATATATCTGCTGGCTTCCTTCTGGCATCCAGCCCCTGCTCTACCTCACCACCCTCCCCCCCAAGCCAGCGAGAGCTTAGAACGACGCCTGCTTGCCTTTTGCTTCGCTGCTTGCATCGTCGTCGTGATACCCTTACACCTGTGCCAGAGGCTGCCAGTCCTGGACCAGCCTGTACTGCGCCTTGTACGCCCCGTGTCCCATCGCCCAAAGAGGTCCGCACCCCGCCAGGCCTTGCCCGTCTTTCACCTACCCCAGTACCCTTTGACCGGTCGCCGAGGACCCAAGACAAGAGCGAAGACAAACGTCAGGCCGAGCAGAAACGACAGGCGACAAGGCCGCCCAGGAGACGCAGGCCCGGTGCAAGACTGGGTTACCCAGGGCCGCCGCTTGCCACAGACGTCTCCGGCTGTCATCCCATCCGGGCAGATATTTGGCCGTGTCCCAAACACACAGGCACACACATACATACAGGTGAGTCTGACAAGGCGCCAAGCAAGCCCATTCTCTCGCTTTCTTTGCTGGACTAGGCCTGGTCCGCCGCGGGGAGGAAGGTGAGCCGCAAAGGGTGCTGGGGCTCTATTAAACTCGACCCGTCTCCCACCTCCTGCCGAGCCAGAGTGGCAGAGAGCCCCCTCTCCGAGGAACAGACGAGGTACACCCAGGCACCCAGAAAGAGAGAATGAGCGGGAGAGTGAGAAGACAGATAGGCAAAAAATATCCTTCTGCTTTCTGACTGCTCCTTTCTTTTCTTCCCTTTGAACCACACACCGGGGCTGAACCTCGTGGGCTGACCATCCACCCTCGCTTTCGACTGAGACAGGCAGCGCAGCACAGCATAATAGAGCAGCACACGCCTGTCCCTGTTCCTTCCCCTTTCTTTTATTCCATTTTCCCCCTTATTTTCTTTTCAGCTCGACACCCACGCCCCGTGGGAAAAAAAAGGGGGGCTCAGATCCCGCGACGGCCCTTGCAGCTTTCTTCCTTTCCTCCGATCCCCGTCCAGACGCCCGGATCTGGTCGTCCAAGCCCGAGACACTCACGACCGAACGACGCACAAAGCTGGGCCTGCCAAGGACGCGACGCTTGTACGTGACCTTTGACAACCATACGGCCCGGAACTGGGTAAGACACTCCTTTCCAGCTAGTCGACATCTCCGCGTTGCTGTTCCTGCGCTTTTGCATGGTCTCGCGAAAAGGACCGGCCGGTCGGCTTTCCCCTCCACCGTCGATCTGCCCAGTAGCCACCGTTGTCTCTCGATCCCACACACCTCCTTGCCCCATCAACACGGCCCTCACGCCCTCCAAATCTTCACCCAGCGCGCGCCAGATCCTCAGGGGGCGTGCGGCAGAAGACATCTCGATGCGTCTTGGTTCTCAGGGGCTGCTGGCACTTCTCGGACCTTGACCGCTCACGCTTTCTCGCTCTCTGCAGCCACCGTCAACCCGGAACGCCACCGCCCTTGCCCTCGCCTGTTGTTGCTGTTTTCTGTACTCGGCTCTTGACCCCTTTTCTGTCATTTCTGCACGCCGTGTCCGCAAAGAGGAGGTTAGCGTCTTCTCACATCCCCTTTTGCCCTATCCTCCCTCACTCCCAGCACCGAAGCCGACCGGCCCGCGTGGTCCTTCCGCCCGACTCCACCTGCTGGATCTGGTATTCGCTCGGCCTCGGGTATCGAGATCGAATCACAGGCGCAGCTCCCCGCCGGGATTCTGAGACCATCTGTTTCCAGCCGCTGCAGCATCGCAGGGGAAGCAGCATCCCGTCCGTTGTGCTTATCGTCATCGGCCATAGACACTGCCAAGTCTTGCAGGCTGCGTCAGGGGACGAAGGCCTCTTCCCACACCTTCCCCAGGCTCCCCTTGCCTCTCTCTCCCCTGCCCCAAGAGAGTGACGGCAAAGGAGTGCATAGCAAGGCCTGCTCTGCAAGTCTTGACAGTTGACACCACACGAGGCCCGGCCGGGGCCCCGCCCACGCACACTCTGTCATGTCCAGCCGCTTATACGACCACAGCAAACAAGAAACAAGATATAGGACCACCGGGTATCCCCCCTCGCCGCTGCCATCTCCTCTCCCGTCTCGAGGATTCAACAGCAGCAGCACCAACAACCACCACCGACCTTGTTCCCCTTCCCGTCCGGCGTTACACTCGGCACTGAGCAAGACGCCCACCACCCCTTATAGTTACGACATGTCAGACGGACACTCGGACGATATGCCCGCGCGCAAGCGCATCGCTGTTGCGGTATGCTACCCTCGCTCCCGTCTCGTCTTGTTTGTGCACCCGCTGACAAGGCTGCTTCCCGGCAATGCCAATAGTGCGGACGATGCCGCAAGCGCAAGATCCGCTGCAGCGGCGACCCTGGCGGCGGCATGCCCTGCACCAACTGCAAGTCAGCCAACGCAGAGGCCTGCCAATTTTTGAGGGTAACCACTTAATGCTCCCGGCTTGTGACGGTGTGGTGGCAGCGACTGACCAAGGGGGGCCGAGTCGGGCCTTTCTGGACACAGGTATCTTCGCAGCCCACATCCCTACGCCACGACGGCGAGCCTGGCGCCGGGTCGCAGCACATGGATTGCGGCTACAACATCGAGGTCTCGCGCGCCTCGGCCACGCGCGGCTCCATGCCGCCGCTGCAGGTACCGTACGGTGCCGAGATGGGTCCCCACGGGCCCATGATGCCGAACTTCCAGCCTCGCGCGTCGGCGGGCAGCAGCAGCGGGGGCTACTACGGCGGCGGCGGCAGCACCGCCAGGTCGACACCCGTCACGTCGACGTCGTCGGCGCCGGCCTACAACTATGCCTGGGGTACCGCGGCGCAGACAGGCGACTACGACGACTACTACTCCCGGGAGGCAAGCATCCAGCAGCCGTACTACCCGATGGAGACAGTCATGGGCTACGCGCCCTGGTCGGGCACAGGGCCGTCCCGGAGCAGGTCTGGGGCCGTGTCGGGAACGGGCAGCATGTATGTTCACACTCACTACTACCATGCCCATGCAGCCCACCACATCCCGAATCCTTCCCAGCAAGCCGTCATGATGAATCCTGCCCACCACTGCACCACGCAGCCCCGCTCGTCACTGTCAGTTCAAGCCCCCTCCCCGTCTTGTCGCGCTCACTCCCATTACCATCACCATTATGCCGTTGGTTCCCTTGATATGCACTCCCACCCAGACGGGCTCCGGGCGCCTGTGCCTTTGACCACTGAGTTGCTGTCGTCGTTTGCTGTCGTTGCTGCACTGCACCTGCGCGCTGTCGCGGCCATGGGGGATGGATTGCCCGCTGAAAGCAGCGGCGGCACCATCGATGGCAAGGAGAGATGCGTCAGTGTCGAGACGGAGGTGTCAAGTCGTAGCCCCGAGCCTGCAAGCTCTTCGCTCAAGGCATCGCCGTCGCCGTCGCCAGAGATCAAAATAAAAAAGGAAGACTGCTGGGAAGGGGACGACAGCAGCAGCAGCAGCAGCAGTGACTTCAAACCCTCGGCGACCAAAAAGCGCAAGGACTCGCAGGTCGCGGCAGACCCGCAAGATGAAGAACAAGACCGCAAGAGCGCCAAGAAGGCTGCTAACCACCCCTCGCCCGTCTCTTTCAGTGAGTCACTGCGCGGCGCCAGCTCGGGCGTCGACCTTGTCGGCGGCTACGAGTACAGCAGCAGCCCCCACGACTCGACCTCGTCGGCGTCGACATCCGCCTATGCTGGTAGCAGCGGCAACGGCAGCAGCAGTGGCACCGGCCGGCGGTCATCGACGGCTGCTACCACGAGCCAGCCGTACATTCCGCTGCCCACCCCACCGCAGCACCACGCCGGCACCGGCGGCAGCCACCTCTCGTCCTACGCGTACGGCTCGTACGGCGGTGCGTCGTCTTCGTCGCCCTACCACCACGCCCAGCCGCAGCACCACGCCACCAGCACCGGCGCGCACGGCAGCAGCCCCTACAGCAGCGGCGGCGACCACGGCCACCACGCCCACGCCCACGCCCACGCCCACCACCACCACCACCACCACTCGGGCGCCAGCACCCCGTCAGGCTCGGGTGGCCACCGCGCCTCTGTTGGCGGCCGGCGCTAGTGGCAACTAGAACAACTGCGCTCCATACAGTTTTGCTTGTCTCCTCCCCCAGATGAGGTGCCGTGCGCTGTGTGAAGCTCTTGTGCAGCCCCGTGGTGTCCTTCCCCTCAGCTCCCACACCACCACCGCCCTGCCTGCCTGCCTGCCCACGAACCCACCCACCCACACAGCACACCCCATGCACCACAAGCAGCATCAAAGCTGTTTTTTTTTGTCTTCCTAACCCTCCATCTAGCTTACCCCCCAATCCAACCCCGCACTCGTTCGGCTGTTTACTTTTGTCCTTGTTTCCTTCACACCCTCCGTCCGCGCCCCGACATGCCCGCCATACAGCGCCCGTTTTCGTGCCTATCCGGATTTGAGGCCCTGGCCCCTCATGCCGGCAGCCGAGCCGTCGGTGGCGGGGTCCCGTAATATTGCTCCCTCTGCCTTTTTTGTCTCCCGGCGTCTGTTTGCTTTTTCCCTTTTGCCCTATTCCGAGCGAATCCCACCCCGTTGGCGGCAGGCAGCACGAGCATGCATTTTGCGCATGACGTGCCTTTCAGCAGCCGCCGCCTCTCTGTCGATCCTTCCATCCCTTGGCATCGTTTCTTTAATTTCTACCTTCCGTCTCGGTGCATTCTTCAAGGGCTGTGATCCTCTGCCTGCCGCCGGCAACGTCCAGACGCCCACCAGAACCAGCACGACAGAACCCTGCATGGGCAGCTTGCAAATTACATCCTTGGTTGGATGGCAGTTCTCTTTCCGGCTTTTTCGTGCTCTCCATCCACCAGCCCAAGCCCCTTTCCACCCACCCATTCGGAGTCAACGCCAGCATCGGCCTGGGAGATTGCGGCCGCCGGGGCTTCCATCCCCTGCCGTGTCTAGGCCGGCTGCCGCTGTGTCCCTGTTGTACCCCTGGGTCACGACAGCAGCCGCCGCAACGAGGTGGTAGCCACCACTTGCAGCGGAGCCCGGAGCCCTCCAGCACGCACGGCGAATGCCATTGCCGACGCTCAAGCATCTGAGATAACACCCACCATGTACGGGCCGAGTCCCACCAACCACCGCTGCCAACATGGCGTCTATACACCCACACCCCATCCATCTGGCCGGCAGGCAGCCAGACGATCAGCAACACGAAGGCACCAAACCACACATATCCACACATACACGCAGGTACCAGAAACCGTTCGGCGCCACTACCTCCGGAGCCCACGGATCAGCTCTCTGCATAGGCTGCATGGACACGAGACAGCCCCCAAGAATAGGGCGACCGTCATGGGGGAACCAGTCAACCAGAGGCCACAAACCTGGCCCTGAAACCCCTCACTGGTCCCGAGAGGCCACCCAAACTAGGCCGGAGCCCGCCTCATTGGATGCCTGCGTTCCCTCGCCTCAAGCTCTGCTGGGGTCGGGCGCATGGTCGGGCCTCTCTTCCTTTCTCTCCCACTCTGCCTAAGACACTTTGGGCTCCCGTCGGCGCGTCCCGTACCGGGCACCAAGGCATCGGACAACGCCTGGGACGCGCTGGCAAGCAAGCCGATTAACCACCCCCAGGTCGCCCAAGGAGGACTTGCCAGACTACCACGTCGACACGCAAACATACACATACACACGACCATCCATCCACACCCACACATCGCTTTGACTGGACTTTCTCGGGACCTCGCCTCCCTCCGGACGGCCATGCCAGCAAAGCAGAGCAATTGACAACCTGCTAGCACACCTCCTGCCACATATGCCACCAGCTCCCAGCCAGCCCAGCGCCACGACGTCATCGAGACACTATTTCTCCGTCCTCGGCTAGCTGGATGACATGCAGCCGGCAAGCCAAACTGTCAACGGAGAACCCGACCCCCTCCCATGGCTACACGCAAGGCCAACAAGCGGCCAGGGGGGGTGACCGTCACACGACCTGAAGCTGCGACGTCACCGCAGCCACGGCGCAGAGCCTTCCATGTCCCTGCCAGTTCGCCCGTCGGACACGGCCGCAGCATCGTCGACACGCGCGCCCTGCGGCGAATATGCAGCCACCCATGCGCGCCGCCCTCGGAGAGCAAAATCCTGTCAGATTTAATCTAGCACGCGCCAAACCCACAGCCGCCAGCCGGACACGAGGACCCCCGTCAGGGAAGATGTGACAGGACCCGTCTGGCAGCTCCAACGGGCGTCATGGCCCCTTGACATATGCCCGAAGCCGCCACGCCGTGTCACGCACGCGCGCCCTGCCAGGCTCTCTGGACACCTCACGAGGCACGAAAGGGTAAAAAAAAAGGGGACCGGGAATTTTATCCCCGATTGAGCGAGAAGACTATTGCAGCCCGAGAGAGGGAGGTCGAGACGTTGTATCGCCACACATGCAACCAATCTAGCAGCAGCAACAACATGGCAACGCCCAACAACGGAACTCCGAGCCGTCGCTCCCCGTCACCATCTCTCGCACCCCTCGCATGGAGACTTGCCCACGCACCCGGCAGTATCAGGGCAGCAGCCTCTTCCCCTCCAGGTCGTGCCTGTTCCTCGGAACGTCGTGCAGGACACAGCCACAGTCCCCGAGAAGCTGCTCACAGGCCACCCCCTTCTCACATGCTGTGTGACCACCCATAAAAAGATACGAGCCCCCGGTTTCGCCGTATTCATCTCTTGGGACTCGCACGCGCGCGCGCGCACACACACACACACACACATGTGTGTGTACCTAGCCAGCCCAGCCAGCCGACGAGAGACGGGCCTTGAGTTTCTCCTCCCCCTCCCCGCATGCCGCCCCGATTCGCTCCACGTGGTGGTACCCCCTTGACACCGGCTCCTGCCAACGATCCCCGCCGCGCCTCGCCCCCGCGCAACCCACGTCGACTTTGCCTGCGTGTCTCCCTCTGGTGTTGGTCGCGGTTCCGACATGAGTCACTTATACCCAATAGAATAGGGTGGGGGTCTACCTCTTGGAGTCTCTGCTCGAGGTGCTCCACCCACTCTACTCGTGGCTCCCCAGGCCGCGCGCTCTGCTGCTGTTTCTGGGCCCTTGCTTGGTCTTGATCAGAGTCACACACACACACACACAACCCCCAACTGGAGAGCTTGGCCACACGGGCGCGAGTCCCTAATCGCCCTTTCAATCATTGCCCACACCCTACCATGGTGCTTGCCTGTCTGCCTGTCTGCCTGCCCGCCCGCCTGCCCGCCGCGCAACCCAGCCCGCCTCTGTCGCCCTGCTTAGCCCATCATCCGCCGGCTGGCGGTGCCGAGCCTCGTGACGAGCACCCTCCCCACAAGCCTCGCCGCCTCGCCGCCCGCCCCAGCAATTCTAATCTAATCGGTTCTTGTCTTTTTGCCATGGCCCTTTCGCCTTGGCATCCACCCCTCTAGCCCGGCGGCCTTCGTCGTTATCAAAGAAGCACAGATGAGATACCCCGCTTGGCTGAAAAGCTCGAGCTCAGATTCCCCCCTTTTTTCTTTCTCTCTCTTGGGCTTCCATCAAGACATTGGAAGATGCTCCAGACACTCTCGCGCGTCACATGATACAAAACATCTCGGCGGCTATACCCCCATGGCGGCGTTGGAGTCGACAAGATGGAAGACTGGAGACTCCGACCGCCCTGAAGATTCTTTTTCCCATCCCTGACTTCCACCAGACCCATGTTCGCATCTCTCCCACCCGACATACCAGGACGTACAAGGAGCACACCGGCATATCAAGACAGCCCTTGCAAGGGGGAAAAAAAAAAGTTTAAAAGTTAAAAGCAGAAAAAGAAAAAAAAACAGTATCAAGGGAAAAAAACGGAGGAGCAAAAGTTCTTTTTTTTCTTCCCTGCTTGTCTTATCACATCTGTCCTTCCTTCAACTCCCATCCCTTCCCGATACAATATTCCATGTATTCCACCCCTTGGGACTCGCAGCATCCCGCCTCGCCGGCCAAGGCAGGATCGCAGTCCCCAACCATTTTCCTTGGTTCTGTCTCGGGTGTAAAGGATACCCAAGAGGAGGTATTAGGGCAACCATCGGCGTCTCAAAGAGACAAGTCTCATGTTTTTTTTGTTGTTTGCAGCACAAAGCAACATTTTTATTAACCACCCCGCAGCTTATGACATCCCTCCATTCTATTCCTCACACAAGAGGAGAGGTGGAAACGGACTCGGGCTCGGGGACAAGGCCGCCCGCCTGTAAAAAGTTTGGCACACATCATTAGCCCTTATTAATAAACCAGCCGCTCGTCGAGTTGCACCTCGTTCTCCTGGTGACAGACAGTAAATGTGCAAATGGGATGTAATGGCGACCACCAAGCAAGGGACGGGACAGTGTTTGGCACGTAGTTGTTCCGAGGTTGACGGGTCTACCAAAGGCGCGTCGGCCACCTGAGAAGGCACACGCAATCAAGACGCTGCCGGTTGCCACAAGACAACGACCCTCCTAGGGAGTTCCCAACTGATAAAACTAGGTACTGAGGTAGCATGGTGGCTGACCACGCGCAACCGATGGGAGCTGTCCCCCGCCGCGCAAACTGTCCACTCCCAAACGACTGCCTTTGGATACAGCAGAATTGATCGCAAAAAAAATGGACCATGGGCTGGGAGGTCAGGTGCGGAAAGTCTGGGGGGTAAGACAGTCCTCGAGAAGACCAAGATAAACCTCGCAGCAATAAAACCAGACCAGCTCCGAAAATGCCTGAAAAGCGCCGCCAGATAAACAAAGTACAGGTATCAACAAAAGACACGGCTTGAATGGTGGGAAAGAACGCAGGCTGTGCAAGCAGGACGAATGGGCCGGGTGGGCATGCCAGAGAACAAAAACAACGCGAGTAGAAATCGTTGAGCGCGCCCTGGAATGGGGCCACGAAAAGCACCAGGGCTATGCCAGGCCCCTGATGAAAATACCGGAACACCATCGCAGACATACAAAGAATAAACAAACAGGTAATACATTAGACAAGAAAAAAACACCCCCTGGCCTGCCGGTCACAGTGATATGTTTTCCAGAGGTTTCCAGAGGCCTTCTGCCTCTATCGAGAGTTCCTACTCCTGACAAAGATTCCAGCCCTTCGGGGAGATTCTCGTCTCGTCTGGGGCCTGATGGGTCCATTGGGGTTTCCAGCTTCTCTAAGACGAGGACGACGGTGGCGGCGCCATTGACGAGACCCTTCTCGAGCCCCGCGAGATCCCGCCAAGAACCGAGACGGCGCTTCTGGCCCGTGCCGGCGCGCTGGCGCCTCCCAGGTCCGCCCTGGGCTGTCGCGAAAAGGTCTTGCGCGTCGCCGTTGCGTAACCCGGGGTGTTGCGCGTGCTGCTCCGCTGGGACGTAGAGGCTTCATAGTCCTCGTCAAGCTCATCCTCGGCATAGTCTTCCTCGAAGACGGGCTCAGGGCTGCTAGACAAGAGGACAATCTCGGCATCGGGGGGAGGCTGGGATGGGGCGGCCTTCTTGGCGGCGCTCGTGCTGAAAAGCGCTCCCTTAATGGCGCCTCTGGCCGAGCGCGAGGGCGGCGAGACGGCCGTAGCAATGCTACTCGGCTCCGCCTTGACTTTCTCGGTCTTGACCTGCTGGGGCCGGTGGCTGGTTTCGATCGAGGCCAGCGGCTGGCTCTTGCTCTGCTTGATTAAAGACGGCGCCTTGTCCTGCTCGGCGCGCAGGGCGTCCTCGTCAGCATCATCCTCGTCACTGAAGGCGTCGAGCCGCCGCATCGCCTCCTCGTACTCGGCGTTGCCCTTGACAGCCTGCGCCGACTTGGCGCCGAGGATTGACTGCTGCGTCGTCCTAGACGGCGACTGAGTGTTTCGAGACGTCGAGCACGTGAACCAAAGAGTGCTAATCGACGGCAGAGACGACGATGAGCTGGACGGAGCTGAACCCACCGCATTGTTGTCCGACTTGGACGGTGTTTGCGGGACTTGGTCCGCCTCGTGCTCGCTAATCTTGCTAGCTCGTGGAGTCTCGACCTGGTCCTCGTTTTCGTCGTCCGTGTCGACGGCATTGCTAAATGCATCTTGTGCCATATCTATGTTGTCGTCCGCGTCGGGCTGCCGGCCGCTACGGACGCTTCCGATTGATGATGAAGGGACGTGGAGTTGAGGGTAGCTCACTTGATCCGGTGCGACGTCGCCTGCGGGGATGGGGGCAGCATTGCCGGTTAACTGCCGAGAAGGGCTATCCGAATCATCCGCCGGCTGACCCGGGGGGAAGCTGTACTGTCCGAGCACCAATCCGCCGATGAGCGCGTTCGTCTTTGCGGCAGCAGTGTTTGCTGAGTAATGAGAAGCCATCAGCTCGTCATCCATCACGAGCGCGTCGCCGTCGGAGGGGACTTGGGCCGCGTGGGGGGAGCGCGAGGCTGATGGGCCCGTGACAATGTCCTGGTTTGTGTCGGGAACACACGAATCCAGGGCCCTGATGCCCTGCTCTGGTTCCTTGTCCGGTTGGCCGTGGGTGGCCGACTTGCCCTCGGTGGCGTCGCCCACGCTCCGCAGCGCCTGGCTGTCAGGTACGACGACCGAGCTGTCCACATGCTCCGAGATGCGAAGGTTCGTGGACTTGTGCACGAGGTCATGGCTGTTTAGGGTTGTGGGCTTGTCGTCGAAGCTGGGCAATGGGGCCTGGAGAATGCGAGGCTCGATCATGTCCTCGAAGGTGATGGTATCCCAACCCTCGGCCCAGAACTGCTCTGCGTCGGGGCATATCTCGTCGTCGGACAAGTCGGGAGGCTCAAATTTCCTATAGATGCGCTGTCCCGTATCCTCATCGAACTGCTTGGCAGAGGAGAATTGGGCACGGTCTCGCTTCGCCATCATGACATCCAGAGTGTGGCCGTTTTCATTTATTCTACCAATGACGGCAGTGACGTCGACAATTTGTGGCTGCCATTTGGTGGCTTCGGAAAGCAGCCACTTCTTCCAGGTGACGATCATGGACACGCGGGCGTCGCTCAGGTGGAAGGGAGGCAGGGTGGTGAGGTCTGTCGGCAGTGATGGGAGGTCGTCCCAGTCCGTCATCTGGCTGTCGTCATACGATGTCTCATGAGCGACATCGGCGTCCTTATCGCCCGTGTCGACGTCGTCGTAGTTCAGCGTCTCCACCGCCTCCTCGGGCGCGTCCGCGAACCTGGGCTTCTTCTCAGGGCGCTCGTCCGCGTTATGGCGCTGCTTCCTCTTGCGGCGCGAGCGCTGCGAGGGATCCCAGCGCTGGACGAAGGGGAAGGGCGGCTGACTCAGTACCATCTCTTCCGCGGCACATTCGGTTCCCTGGTAGTTGATCTTGGTGCTCCATAGGTCGTCGACATCGTCTCCGCTGTCGGAGGAGGCTGGGCCCAAGCCTGGGGCGGCAGCGGCGGGCTCCATCGGAGGGCTTTTGCCCGGGCCAGTGACTGGAGGGAGGGGCGAAGGGGACTCTGGGCCGCAACCGATAGCGGCCAGCAGCGCATTCTTGCGCTCTTCGAGGATGCTATTCTGAAGCAGTAGGCTCTTCGCGCGCCGCCGTCTAGCATTGCGGTTCCGGGTCTTAGCCTTCCCCTGTCCAGCCGCTACATGCGGCTCGCGCTCGCCTGCCTCGTCCTGCACCGGGGCCACCGACCCAGCCACCGGCTGCTGTGAGCTACTAGGGCCGGCAGCGGTAGCCGGGGCGCTGGTGGGAGGCCGGGTCGACATCTCCTCTGGCTGTTCGTCGTCCGAGAATTCGCCTTCGCCGTCGCCGTCCGAGTCGCTCTCCTCGTCCTCAGAGCTGCTCTCTGCGCTGGAGGAGCTGCTCTCTGCGCTGGAGGAGCTGTCGTCGGAGCTACTCTGGTTCTCGCCGGAGCCGCCATCCGAAGCAGGACTCTGGATTGCGGCTGCTTGGTCGTCCACAGAATCGTCCGAGTCCAAGTCGTCAGAAGAGGCAGAGCTATCTCCACCGCTTTTGTCGTCGCTCGCAGCCACGTCAGATGAAGGGAGACGTGCACGGGCGGCGGCTTCGCCTTTATCCTCACTGCTGTCACCTTCGTGGTTGTCATGTGTTGAGCTGTCTGAGCTCTCACCATCATCAGAATCGGCGGGGCCGTCGCTGCCAGACTCAGAGTCTGCACCCGATTCGAGCTTGGCTGGCTGTCCTGTGGCGGCGGGCGATCCGAATGGGGTTTCATGAGCATCGACTTCCGACTCGCCCTCGGAATCAATCTTGGATTCGTGATTCCCTCCTCCGGTTGATGCGTAGTCAGACTCATCATCAGCATACTCGTCCTCATCGTCATGGAGGAGGAGCTCTGAGAAGGCCTGCGGCCTCGAGCGCTCGTGCTGGTCGCGGTAGTGCGTGAGAGAATCAGCGCTATCGGCATCCGGCTCATGCATGTACACGTCTTGGGTCAAGGCAGACACAGCGGCGTCCCTGACTTTGGTGCGATAGTGGCGCTTTACACGGTGGTAGCTGAGCTGAGGCACATGACGCTTCTTAAGCCATTTGAAGATCTTGCGTGCGACGTAGGTGCCGTTGCGAGCATGGCACTTGCGAAAGGCGCGGTCGAGCGTGGCCTGGGGTGCGTCAGGAAATGCGACGGCCATGCTGGACTTGAGGTTGACGATGGCGGGATCGGAATCACTCTCGTTGTCTGTCTCAGTCTTGGCATCTTCGGCCGGCTGATCGGAATCACTCTCGTTATCCGTCTCAGTTTTGGCATTTTCGGCCGGCTGACCCTGCTCGTCAGAGGGGGCGAGCAGTGCTGGCGCAAGATCTTGGCCAGTGTCCTCGTCATTGTCCAGCAGAATAGTAGACAGCTCGTCTTCATCAATCTCCGAGACGTCATCGTCAAGGTCCATGTCATTCTCGTCGCCATCAGCCGAGGAGCTGTCATCCTGCTGCTCCTCATTCCCGAGATACGAGGGGGGCTCTCCGTTTTGTGTGAGCCGCAAAGGCTGAAAGTCCTCGTCCTCGTCGTCGTCGTCCCAGTCGTCTTCAGCGGCTGGGGAGTCTGGGTCCTCGGCGAGGATTCTGCGGCGTTTGCGGGGCGGGATCTTGATGGCAGGGCGATCGCGAGGCTGGCGCAACAAAGGACGACCGAAGGGAACGCCGTCGACCAGATGCTTGCCGTCGCTGCTGATCTGGTGTCTGCCGCTGACATGACGCTTTTTGAGGTCGGGAGTTAGTAGCGGGCGGATGTAGACCTCCTCGTCCTGCTGCAGAATGGAAGCCACAGTCTGGAAGTGCAGCGCCTCAAAAGCGCCTCCGGCCGGGTTGCGAAGCTCGACGGCGTAGTCGTCGAGGCCCCAATCGTCCGACTCGAGGGGGACCGTGGCGTTGACAAGCTCGAGGAAGTAGGCTATAGTAGGATCGCCGTCGAGGGAGATGCTGAAGAGAACACGCGTATCGGGTAGGCCATGGCGGCGAACCACGAGGCGGAGCCGCATGTTGCCCGCCATGGCGATGGCCGGGTAGGGAAGGAGAAGGCCGGGCGCAGTCGGGATATCAGAGGGCACAGGAGGGGAGGGGAGGCGTTAGAAGGAGGGAAAGTAATCAGCAGAGTCGCGTGGGGGGTATCTACAAACGCATGCAATGCTGCAGGAAAAGCATGGACGAAGAAGTGAAGAGAAGCAGACGCGAGGCTGGAAGAGACAAGGCAGAACTCAATGCGCAAGGGAAGGCGCAAAAGTCGAGCTGCCAAATCCCACCACCAGCTGAAGATGGAAGCTGCGGCCCAGGAAGCTTTTTCCTCTGGACGCGTCTGTCACGCTCAATTGACGGGTAGTGGGGGCTGGATCTAGCCCGAAGCGGACAAGGAAGGGGTGGGGCAGAGCATGGATATCTCAGCTGGGGGTTGAGCCGTTGGAGTTTGAGATGGGCTTTGAGCTGTACTGTGTATGTGGCGCTGTGCTGGTGAGACACGGGCAGTCGGCAGCTGCCGGGATGGTCTAAGCGGAAAGAAACAGAGGGAAAAGACTAATACTCAATGTTCAAGACGGAACCAGCAAGTGCTGCAGGTGGCTTGCACCCCAGAGACATGAGGGGCTGCAGCAGGGAGTCCTTATCCCTGACAAAGTACCAGATCCCAGCCCTGGTACCACTCGCACCGTCCACGTGCTGGCACCAGTCCAGATCAGGCGGTGAGCAGCTGGCCCGAGCAGACAGTGGTACTGTGCTGGGGCTTTTTCTTTTGCTCGTCGCCAACTGTCCCATTGGGTGCCTGGGTACATTGGCTTGTCTTACGTACATGCAACAGTAACAGCAACAATCACAACGCAGAAAATGCCAGGCTCGCAAACCGGCACCGGCACCGGCACCAGCACCGGCACCAAGCAGCTCACCGAGGCGGACAGGATCCGCATCCGCGCCCTCGCCTTTGATGCTGGCTACACCCGCAGCCAGATCCGTGACCGGACCGGCGCCTCGGTCGCGCAGGTGAAACTGGCGCTCAAGTGCCAGACGCCCGTGCCACGATCCGGAAGACCCCCCAAGGACCCATCCAAGTAGGTCACCGCGCTCCCGTGCCGGAGCTGACTACTATACCGCTTCCCTGCTCCTGTTCCTGCCCCGCCGCCACCCCCCCATTGTGGGGATTCCCGTTTCTCTGTGCCATGTGCCATGTGCCGCTGCCGATCTTGTCACTCGCTGACTGCGTACCGTAACTGCACCATCTGCCGCTTTCGCGCAGCCCCAAGAGACGGAAAAGAGGACCAAGATCAGTCCCGACACCGGCCCTCAAGCCCGCTCGCTTCGAAAGAGGACCACCAGGTCTTTCGGCGGCAGAGTCCATGGCAGAGTGGGCGGCGGCGGCAGAGGCGGCTAGGTCCGGCGAGGCCGCGGAGGAGGCGGCCACGCCAGAAGGATTCCAACTACTTGTCCTCAACCCCAACTCGTCCACGGGCATGACCGAGGGTGTCAAGAAGGCTATCGAATTGGTAGGTTGAGCAGGCCCTGTGTGTGCCTTCTCTCTCATCAGTGAGCCAACACCCCACTCACCACTCACCATGACCAACCCAGAGCGTCACCCCCAACGGCAACACAATCTCCTACTACACAGCCCCCGAGCCCAGCCCGGCCAGCATCAACGACGGATTCGGGCTGGCCCGCAGCACCGAGGTCGTCCTCGCGGACCTGCAAGCCAAGGCGGCCGCGCGGGACGCCGAAGACGCCGAGGCCGACGGGGACGCGGGCACTAACAGCAGCGGCAGCGGCAACCACGACGAGCTCGACGGCTACGACGGCGTCCTGGTGGCCTGCTTTAGCGTGCACCCGCTCGTGGCGCACCTGGCGGAACGGCACCGCGGGCGGCGCGTGGTGCTCGGCATCCTCGAGGCCAGCGTGCTCGCGGCCCTGGCCCTGACCAACCCCTACCCGCGCTGCCCCGAGTCCCCCGGCCGCACCTGGGGCATCGTGACGACGGGCGCCTTCTGGGAAGCCCACCTCGAGGACGGCGTCCGCCGCTTCCTCGACGCCTCGTACTCGGCTAGCTTCTCGTCGTCGGCCGCCGGGGGGCCGAACGCGGCAAAGTTCGCCGGCGTCTACACCACGGGCCTGGACGCTGGCGACTTCCACGGCGGCGTGGGGCCCGAGGTGGTGCGCGCCAAGCTCAAGGACGCGACGAAGCGCCTGCTCGCCTTTGGCCGCGTCGGCTGCGTCGTCATGGGCTGCGCGGGCATGGCCGGCCTCGAGGACGTGATCCGGAGCGCCATCGCAGAGGAGTACGGCGAGCCGCAGACGCCGCAGGAGAAGGTGTACATCATTGACGGCGTCAAGGCGGGCGTGGGGCTGCTTGCAGAGACCATCAGGAACGAGCGCATGTTTGGCCAGTAGCAGCGCTGTTTGCTTGGAGAGCACGAGGTGGCAAATTTGGCCCATTTCTTTCTATTCCTGTTCCTGTTCGATACCACCAATACTTCAAATTTCTACCCATCGCTACAACTTGGGACTGCGTGACTTGGACTACTGCATGCTGCTTTGGCGTGCTCTTGCTAATTTGCACTCTGCTACTGCTTGAACATGGACAAGCCTAGCGCAAACCATAAACACTGACTACTCTAGTCGATGCGCCTGGTCCTGCCCCAGACCTCGTCCGCGTCCTTGCAGCCCAGCGTCTCGGGCACGTAGGCCGAGATGAATACGAACCAGAAGGCGGCCGCCGCCGCAAACAAGAAGTAGACGTAGCCAGCGCCGCCAAAGGTCTCGTTCAGCGCCGTGTTGACGATGGGGAAGAACTGGGCGACGATAAAGGTGGCGATGTAGTTGGCGCCCAGCGACCACGACTGCACGGCGCCCACGGCCTCCTGGCCTACCAGCTCCGAGGCCATGATGAAGGGCACGGGGCCCAGCCCCACGGCGAAGGAGGCGACGAAGAGCAGCACGAAGACGGCCGAGAGGGTCTTGAGACCGAACAGGATGGACAGCGCCAGGCCCAGCGAGCTGACGCCCTGGCCGGCGACCGACAGCAGGATGCAGGCCTTGCGGCCGAGGCGGTCGGGCAGCGGCGAGCACGCGGCCGTGGTCACCAGGTTGATGGCCGAGATGACGATGGTGACGAGGGCCGAGTTGATGGGCAGGAGCCCGTTGAGGAGCGAGACCGAGTACATGATGATGCTGTTGATGCCGCAGATCTGCTGCGCAAACATGATGCCCACGACCGACACGATGGCCGGGCGGTAGAAGGGGTCGCGCGCCACCTGCCAGAAACCCAGGTGCGCCGACGCCGCCTTGGCCCCGGACGCGGCGCGCGGCGCGGGCAGGTCCGAGACGGCGGCGGCGGCGGCAGTAGCAGAAGCAGAACCGTCGCGGTTCTCGCCCGACAGGAGCCCCTGGTGCTCGCTGCCCACGATGGTCTCGTCGTCCTCGGCCTCGGAGCCCCAGGCCGCCACCTCGTCCTCGACGGCGGCCTTGCCGCCGCGGATGCGCTGCAGCACGGCGCGCGCTGTGCCCACATCTCCCTTGTGCGCCGCCAGCCAGGCCGGGCTCTCGGGCACAAACGCCATCAACCCCAGGCCGTGCACGGCGGCAATGATGGCGCCGGCGCCCATGATCCAGCGCCAGGCGGAGCCGTAGCTCAAAAAGTAGCCGAGCGTCTGCGTCATCAGGATGCCGACGTTTGTGCTGATCTGCGTAAAGGCGCCGAAGAAGCCGCGGCTGGCGGGCGGGGCCGTCTCCGAGATGTAGATGGGCACGATGACGGTGGCGGCGCCGGCGCCGAAGCCGTTGAGCACGCGGCCGACGCCCATGAGGGCCACGCCGCCGGCGAGCGCCTCGACCGCGGACCCGGCCAGGAAGACGAGCGCGGTGCCCTGCATGCCGAGGCGGCGGCCGTGGCGGCTGCAGAAGGGCCCCGCGGCCAGGGCGCCGGCGAGGCCGCCGAGGGTGAAGACGGACGAGATGGTGGCGAAGGCGGCCTCGGTCATGGGGATGCAGTCGGAGCCCCTATGGGCCGAGCCCGGGCTACGGGCGGCAAGCAGGAGGTGGCGGGCGGCGACGGCCCAGATGGACGCCTTCTTGCAGGTGATGACATCTTGCGGGGCGTTGAGCTCGGCCTGTTTTGCAGCACGAAAGGGGGGGCGGGAGGTTAGTGATGCCGACGACGGGAGAGGAGGAGTCGGTCTGGATTGAGAGCAGACGCCTGGCCTTCACCGACCAGATGGAAGCCAAACTGCAGCGGCCCCAGCGTGGCGACCAGAAGCAGGACCAGGAAGTAGGGCGTGATGCCACGCAGGCCGCTTGCCGGTTGGTCGGCCATTTGGGGATGGTTGCTGCGAGCGCAGTTGTTGTCGATCGTGGAGTTCGGACGACGCGTCGTGGGAGGACAGGAGTTGAGTCGAGTCGGGAAAGAGGTCGGAAATGGGTGGTGGTGGTGTGGAATGCCAGCTCCCGGAGTCGACTGCTTCAGTCTAGAGCAGTCTGGCTTGGGCCAGCCGTGGTTGGTGGGATTGACGCTTGGATGGGCGCACGTGGTTGCTGAACCTCGAGACATTCTAGCGGCAGGCATCCCCGCTGTGACGCTATGGAGGGCCAGGGGCTGCCCAATTCACTCTGGGGCCCCAGCTTGGTGATCTCTGGGCGCTGGTGGCTCGTGCAGCTTCAATTCTATGTGTAATTACATCGCACATCATGCTATGATATCCGACATCCCCCTTTGTGGAATCACTGCCCAGCCAACTGCCTCTTCACGGCCACCTCCAGAGAATCCAACTCCCCCTCGCCCATCTCCAGCAGCTCGTTGTCGTTCTTGTCGTACAGCGTGCCGCCCTCGGCCCAGATGCGCCGCAGCGTCCGCATCGTAGCCTTGGCGTCGCCCTCCTCCCATGCCTTCTGCTCCATTTGGCGGTACTGGTCGAGCGGCGTCTTGGCCACCTTCCACTTCGAGCCGCCCGTCTGCTTCTCGTACTCGGCCAGCACCTGGTTGGGCGTCACGACGAAGGACTGCACCTTGAGCGCCTTACCGAACGACGCCTCGGGGTGGCGCAGGGCCGCCACGAGGAACTTGCCCACACTGTAGTCGCGTCGCTCATGTTAGCTCGGTGGTTCTTTGACGTGATAGTAGAGCAGGCAGAGCACTCACTCGGGCATGGTGCAGAAGCCGATCCTCCCCTCGCCGTCGTCGATCACGTTGGCCTCCCTCCTGGCGGCGTCAAAGTTGCCAGCCGTGACCCACATGTCAAAGTAGGGGCCCGTGACGAGGTACGTGACGTGCAACCTCTTGATCTCATCCCGGATCATGCGCCGCACCGCCAGCTTGACCTGATGCGGCTTCTCGCCCGCGCTGCGCTCGTTGTGCTCGATGTCGGTGCCGTACTCGGACGGGAAGAACCACTTGACCGTGCCCGACGCCTCGGCCAGCCGGATCAGCTCCATCTGGTGGGCCAGCACGTTGCGCCCGACGGCCGACACCACCGTATCGACATCGTGATCCTTGTAGGCCGCCGACACGTCGGCAGCGCTTGCGAGGTCGCCGACCACCACGCCCGCGCCCTGCGACTTCCACCGGTCCAGCAGCTCCTTTTTGCCGTCCGCCGTCCCCTGTGACGTGAAGACGGTGACCTTGCCAAGGCCCGGGCTGGCTTTGAGGATGGCTTCGGTTATATGGCTGCCAATGTTGCCGGTGGCCCCAAAAATGAGAATGCTGGCGGGGGTAAAGGACGCCATGTTGGCGATAGTTTGTCTTGTAATTTGCAAGTCCGGACACGGTAATGGGTTTCGGCGGCTTCTTATTTCCCGCAAAAGGCAGGTTTGGTTCTGTCAAGCTCAGGGCGTAAAGAAGGTGCAGGGTGTAGTCAGGCGTGATCCGGAGTGGGGAGGCCGTGGGCATGGGACGATGACGCTATTCGCGGCGGGGCAGAGGCACTAATGCCACCAGGCCATTGGGCACATGGAGGGGGCAACATTATCCCGCCAGCCTGGGCTTGACGAGCGCCCATTTATCATCACACTCCCCGCCCCCGCATCGCCCAAGCACTCAGGTGCAACGCCCGTGCAAGACAGCAACCCTATTCCCGTCGCAATGGTGTGCGATATATGCAAGGCCGCGCTGCAGCGGTTGATGCAGCCAGATTGCAGTACGCCACATCATACAACCTTGGCTTCCTACAAACGCTCGGTCCAGATCGGATGCTTCATCTGCACCTCTTTTCCCCTACAGGAGCAGCGCCGGCCCGATCTGCCCAACGGTTGGGATGCGACTGTGGCCTCTGTAGATTCAACCCTCACGTTCTTCAACGAACCGTGGCCATCGATAATGTTCATGGTCTACGTGAGGCGCAACATTCCGTTCATTCCCTTGAAGTCCGAACGTTATAACTTTGACCTCCTCGACGGTGACAGTAGGTTCCTTGCGATCAGAACTCAGCGTTGTATCTGATAGGACTGACGTAGCCACCACCTCTATAGCCCACCCCAAGGCCCGCAGACTGTCTCCAAGCACGCGATCCACACAGACCTTCTCAACGGCCAAACAGTGGATTGCAACTTGCACGCAGTCACACGAGGAGTGCACCCGTCGCACTTCCGATGCGGCCTGGTATCCAACCAGGCTTCTCGAGTGTAGAATTGATGGGAACTCGGAAACACTCCGGCTGGTCGAGACCGGCAAAACTGCCGTCGACGGGCCGTACATGACACTCAGTCACTGCTGGGGCAACAAAGACTGTCTGAAGTTAACAACAGATAATTATACTCAGCTTCTCCAGGAGATCCCCATATCGACCATTCCAAGGCTGTACCGCGATGCCTTGGTTGTCATTAGGGAATTAAATGTCAAGTACCTCTGGATCGACTCTTTGTGCATCATCCAGCATGGAGACAATTCGACCGATTGGGACCGTGAGGTCAACCTTATGGACCAGGTCTATAGCAACTCCTTCTGCAACATATCGGCCCTCACGGCGCCCGACAGCCACCAGTCCATGTTCCACGACCGCGACCCGGACGCGATGTACCCGCCAACGACAGGCTTCATGAACGAATGGCCTATGATCAACAAGCCGTCGACTATCATCAAGAATCTACGAGATAGGTGGAACGAAGAAGTCCTCAAGGCGAAACTCAACACGCGGGGATGGGTGTTTCAAGAGCGCCTCCTGTCGCCCAGGATCATCCACTTCGGCCGCAGCCAGGTCTACTGGGAATGCCGGCGTCTTGAGGCCTCGGAAGAGTGGCCTGAGGGCTTCCCGGAAAAGCCCTGGCGGGACTCCGCGTCCTGCTATCAGAGGGACCTCTACTCTGACCGCCACTACACTTCGGCGGGGTGGAAGCGAATCATCGAAGTCTATTCCGCCTGCGACCTGTCGTTTCCGAACGACAGGCTGGTCGCCATATCTGCGGTCGCGAGACGTGCGGCAACCGCGTTCCAAGACACATATGTTGCCGGCCTGTGGCGCAGCGCCCTAGAAGACCTCCTGGCCTGGCAGGTATACCCGGCCCGGAGCACAGCGACAACATGGCCCGCAGAGGTCTACCGCGCCCCAAGCTGGTCTTGGGCTTCGATAGACGCTCGGGTGCGTTTTGGTGAGCGCCATGGCCCGGGATTGCTCGTCAAGGTCCAAGAGGTGCACCTGGACTATGCCACGGCCGACAAGATGGGCCGTTTGAAAGGCGGGTGGCTACGCCTACAGGGGCTTTTGCGGCAAATGGAACCGCGGCCGCTCGACGAAGACGCGGAGTGGGGCCTGCGCTGGGATCATGATAAGTGGTCTTTCACCTTCGAAGCACTCTCGAGTGAACTTGATGCTCGACACGAGCGCGATCGAACCAGACTTTTGAGGAGTGCGGGAGACGGCTTCTTCTACTGCGTGCCATTGTGGGTTAAAGCAATACATGTGCCACCTGCCAATCGTTGGGAGTTTGTGTCCATGACATTTCTGCTTTTAGAAAAACTGGATAACGAGGGCCGCCAAGGCGACTTTCGCCGTGTGGGCTTTGCTCGTGTCCAGGTCCATAAGCGTGAGTGGCGCATGCTGGGAGAGTTTCTGGGATTCTCCCTGGAGGATGACACAGTCGACTGGAGTGCGTTGCTAGATGTCACGTCGGCCAAGCTGCAGACATTCACGATAGAGTAACAACGCGACACTGCTGCTTGCTTCGGAGCAAAACGCTTCTATAAATGCGAGAATTGTATAGGCTAGGTAATTACTCTAAATTAAATCTCCAGGCTCCGCACCGGCCGCCCTCTGCCGGGCTACCTCGGGCGCTGCGCCTGGTCGCCGTGGAGCTCGCTGGCTTCTGTGTTTCTCGCCGGCAGCTCGGCCCCTGGCATGGTCCCCCATAGCTCGGGCCGCCCCGGGTGAGGGAAGGGTTTGCTTCCCGCCTCGTAGTAGGAGTGGGGGTAGGCTTGATGCGGCGTGCTGCCCTGCATCTCGCTCGGGTGCGGCGAGCCAAAGGGAGCGCCGTCATGGTGGTAGCCCTGCTGGGGCTGCTGGTCCTGGCCGTAGCCGAACTGCTGCCCATAGTGCGAGGCCACCGCCGCCGCCGCCGCCGCCGACCGGTCCTTTTTGCGGCGCCGTAGGAAGAAGGTGCCGATGGCCCCCAGGACAAAGGTGGCCGCGATGGCAATGACGATACCGGCAATGACGCCGGGCTCGAGTCCGTTCGGGGACGACCCAGCACCGCCCTGGGACGCGGGGGCAGGGTCGGTTTGCGCGGGGCCGACCGTGCTGGACGTCCTGGAGGCGTTGTCTCTGGGGCTGCCCGTGCTGGTAGAGGTCGAAGAAGGCGGCGGGGCGGTCTGGGCGATGAGGCTGAGGGGATCAAAGGAGATGTAGCTCGCCGACGAGGGCGCGGCGGCGCTGCGCGACGCGAGGGCCGACTCGATGTCGGGCACGCTGATGTTCTTGAGCGTGTTGTGACCGTTGCTCCAGCAGACGTTGATCTGGTTACTAACGAGTGTGCAGGATTCGCTGTCGGGGGGCGAGTATCATGGCGATGTCAGTCGGCGGGAGAGCGAGCCCCCCCTTTTCGAACTTCCCCAACACCAAACATCAACAAACGAGAACGGGCTGGATAAAACAACGCACCGATTGCTTCGGCAACACCATGTGGTCTGGCCCTTGCGGCACTCAAAGGTGGACCCGTCGCTGCTGCATGTCGTCGATCCGGCCCAGCAGACGCTAAAGTCGTCGCCGCTGGCACCGCAGCAGTACCACCTGCTGATGTTGGGGTCGCGCGCGCAAGCGTTGGGCTGCCTGCACTTCAGGCTCATGCCCGGGCATGCCGAGTTGCTCGCGTTGGTCGCCCAGGCCCAGGCGTCGAAATATGTCGACATGATGGGCGTATCGCAGGGACACGGCGCACAGTCGGTAGGTATCTACCTAACTTCTCAGCCAGGGGGCGCCCCGTCCGGCTATCTGGTTCTCCAGGCGATGAGCGGCTGCAACGAGCCGTGTTGACAACGGAGACTATGCGCGAGGAGCGGGAGGCAGACGAGTGAGGACAGGAAAGAGAAAAAGAAGCATGGGGCAAGGCGAAGAGGGAAGGTCGTATGCTGACGCCCCCACCCCCGGAGAGGGGGGTGCCTGGCTAATTGAACGGCAGTCAGCCGCAGCGCGCCTTGACGCCGATGGCGCACGAATCCTTCGCCTGGGCGCCAAAGGCACGAATCACCCCCCCATGCCTGTGTGAATGAAGGCTGCCAGTCCCACAATGGTTCGCGATCTTACCCGCCGATGTTGCAAACGGTTCTCCCTGACCAATACCCACACCGATGTGGTCCTAGACGAACCCGCCCGCCGCTCGGTTCGGGTATCCGGCACTAGAATAATCGAGACGAATCTCTCCAGGGGTTATCTACGAGGACCTGCCCGCCCAGTAGGGAGCGGCCGAGGTGGTGTGGATGGCAAAGAAGTAAACACAATGGTGAGAGATGGCAATAGCAAAGAATCAATATTGTCCGGCCTGGGAAGCTGGCGAGAACCTACAAACGGGTCCCCGTTTGGACCACAAAATTACTCAAAACCCATATGACCCAACCCAAAAAATTACCCAGATTTTGGACCCATTACCCAAATGGTCCCCGGCCCAAACGGGTCGTTTGGGTTTCCGCCAGCCTTACCGCCTGGGCCCAAGCGATAGAAATAACTCGGTGGCAAAACAGAATCCATATCCTTAGCCTCTTCCTTGCAACGGCAACGTGAGCCCGACCATTTCCAAAAGTTCCCCTGTGCCCTACCTAGACTTTGGCCGTGGCGTGTGAAATGAGCGAGGGAGAGCCCGTACGTGTGGTCGCACAAGGGCTGCAGCCGATCCTCTGGGGCCCTTGCAGGGACCTTTTCGAAAAGGTGCGACTGCTTATTACCACCTCGGGCAGTCCAGAATTCTACCGAGGCTGACGCGCCCAGAGTGGAGTTCGGACGCATGCTAGGGCTTTTTGGTCTTACCTTTCGAGTGCCCGCCTCACCAGGCGATACACCCATGCACAGCGCCCCCTTAGTCTTGAAACTTACCGGCCCTATTGGAACTGTTCTTCGTCTTGCATGACGGCGTTCTTGGGGGTTGGGCTTAGAGAGTGGTGTGTGTGGGAGAATACGTCTTTACGAGAGACCTTGCAGACGGCCCAGCAGCCTCCACTTGGCATGGTTGCTCACGATTTCAAAACTGCACAAGTTGTTCTCCTCACAGTTTAGTGGCTGGGCTTGGATTTATGCCTAGAGAATATTTTCATCTCATAAGTATATGAGAGCTGTGTGTGGCCGTGAGAAAGAGGGGTAGGTTCTATGCATGCGGCGTGGTATCTATGTTGTAAGTTGATGATCATTTTGTTACGTAGAGTCTTTGCAGCTCTGCCACGGAAATACAGTCCCCCCATGGCCTCGCCTGGCAAAGAACTAACCGAGGGATGTTCCAAGGCAGGCAAGGCAAGGCTGAACACGAGCCAGGTCTGCTCCAGAGTCGGCTATAAAAGACGGGAGAACCGTCCCGTTAGCGACTTCCCAGATCCTTCTCTTCATGCAGAGCCACAGCCCAAGATCAACAAGCATCTCTCGCGCCTTAAAGCCTTGATTACATAGCCCTTTTTGCTGTAAAGACACGCAATCGAGCCTCTTTATCAACCAACATGCGTCCCTCCACGGCCCTCCTCTCTAGCCTCCTCGGCCTTGCCACCGCCATGTCCAGCGGCGAGGAGTTCACCTCCAGCGGCACTCCCGACGGGGGCTTCACCATCCCCAAGGGCTTGCCCGACGGCATCTACTCCGTCTCGGTTGACGAGGCCGGGGTGGCGCACCACACCACTGTCAGCACCCTCTCGTCCCGGTCGGAGGGTGCCGCCCCCCTCGACGTGCTCGGTGCCGTCAAGCGCAGGCGCTCGGGCGGCGCCACGCTCCAGAAGCGCGACTGGGGCTTCGACTGCGGCGGCGGGAGGGAAATGAACCACCAGGCCACCGACACGGCCGTGGACCTGCTCCGGCGGGAGTGCGGCGGCGGCAAGACCGTGGGCGTGGGCACGCATCTGTACGGCATCGGCAACTCGGGCGGCCACCAGGTCGCCGCCTTCTTCTGCCTCTTCGACCACAACCCCAGCGAGCGCGCTTGCTACAATTCGGAAGCCGGGCTGCGGTACGAAGCCATCACTCAGGTTTGCGGATGGTACCGCGAGGGCTGGACCGACTGGTATAGCGGCTCTACTAAGGAGTACACGTACGGATACCACCTGGTCGACGACAACAAGAACTTCTGCGGTAGGAACCACTAGTGGGTGCTGGACAAGGCGTCGGTGGGACCGGCGACGAAATTATGTCTACAGAGTGCCCATGTCTGGGCTCTGAGGCTAGTGTCCCAAAGACTTCGTCGTTTTGTCAGCATATGGCAAGGAGTCTGGGCGTAGGTGTGCGTCAGCGGTGGTGGCGGAAATGAGTTTCTTCTTCTACCTATAGCGGAGTTGGCCCAGTATGGCTTCACGCAGAAAGTTTGTACTTGAGCCGATGACGGCAATTATTTTACTACAGGCAGCCTTGCGCGTGCACATTATACAATAAAGGGCAGTTTTTATGTCCTAGGGATTATAATTGTCAGTAATCACTATCTGCTGTCCTATTCTTATTTTCCCTTCCATTTCCCTTCCTATTTTCTTCCTGTTTGTATTCCTATTTGTATTCCTGGAGTTGCTTTTTGTTTTGATTCTAGTTTTATTCTTATTTTATGTAAATCGTATTCCTCCTTTTCAAAATTTCAAAACTAGATTCCTACCGCAGTAACAATCCTAATTCATGGGACTTGTATTTCCGGTTTTTCTATTCTTCAAGTGGGGCTCCCTTCTTTTTTGCGGAGCAGGCGTGCCTGGATTAAACCAAATCCGGCATGTAACCGCTAGGAGGAATATTACTAGCATTTCAACATTTTGTTCATCTCCAAGGGGCACAGGGGAAAGATCGTAACTCGTTTGTATTTGAGAACGTTAGGTTTGAAGATCAGAGTACTCCGGGCGCAGAAAGTCAAACGTGTCCAGCAGCTCAAAATTGAAGAACTCGGTGATGTCGGTGCTGAAGCCAAAGTCGTGGATTTGCGGCAGCAGGCCCGCAACGCCAAACTCCTGCTGCGCTTGCTGCTGCTGGTGTTGCTGGGCATGATCGACCGCCCCCTGCGCGAGGCCATTGCTTTCCCCACTGCTACCACTACCGGCACCTGCGCCGGCGGCGCTAGAAAAGCCCATGGCAGGCCCCGACGCCACCGTCGCCGACACCGCAGCCGGGGGTGCGTCCAGCACCTGGTTCAGCACGCGCTGTATGGCCTCCTTGACGGCGGCGCACAGTCTGGCGTTGGCCGCGCCCGGGCCCGTCCAGCCGAGAAAGCCAACCAGCAGGCTGAGCTGCAGGATCATGTTGGATCGCGCGATGGTGGGGGTGGCGTCGTCCCTCCGCGGGGTCTGGGCGTGTTGGGATTGTCTGAGCAGCTCCATGCAAAGGACGCCGCCGGCGGGCGCGGCATATGATATAATCTAATGGGGAGGGGCACGTCAGCGATGTGGTCCAGAGAAAGGCTGGGCAAAGGCAGCGACGAAACACTCACAAAGGAGTCCCATGGGAAAAAGGGGCAGGGGAACCTACCAGCCACTGAAAGTCGCGCTGTACCCCAGCCACACGGTCGCGGTGCATCCATAGCGTGACGGTCAGCGTCACAATCTCGACGCTGACAGTTAAAAGCTCTGCTGATATCGAAGGCGGCAGCGTGGGTGCTGTTGAGCCGTGAGCTGACGACTGCAGTGGCCAGGTGCGGCCGAGCAGGCGCTCGATAAAAAACATGTTCTGCAGATGCTCGAGGCGCATCATGACCTTGCCGAACAGCTCCATGGGGCTAATCCTCTGGTCGTAAACGTTCTCGGGCTTCCACACTAGGACCTCGGGCATCTGGGCGGTTTGACGAAGCTCCCTCTCCTTAAGCCTGACCAGCTGCTCGTGGTTGGGGCGCACGTTGGGTCCGCCAAGGGCTATCTCGAGAATCTCGTCCCTGACGAGGACAGAGTCGATGCGGGAGCGCATGTACTTTACGGGGGTAATGGCGGGATTTAGGTTCCACCCATTGGAGTCCAGCCTGGCTGCCGCCTCGATGAGACCGCTGCGGCTCCCCATAAGCTCTTCGTTGGTCAGGTCCAGGGGCAGTTTGGTTGATATGTATCGGCTGTTGAGAAGCGGCGGACGCCCGGTTACGATGGCAGCGGCCTTGTCGAGCACCATAATGCCGTAGAAAAGCCGTCGGCGGGCCTCGTATGATATGGACGGCTTCTTGTCTGCGCGATCCTGGGCGGGATCCACGTGCATGCCCAAGTATAAGCATAAAGCGGTCGTCTCTGACATCATGACGGCATTTCGGAGACCTGCGACGGGGAAGAAGAGATCATTAGAGGTGAGACAAGCTTGGAGGTTGGCTGGGTCGCAAGGAATGAACCGAGGACTTGCTCGTATCACTAGACACCATGGACTCGAGCGCGCCGTTCTTGTACGACAGGCATAGTAGAAGTGAATTGGCGCCGTATTCCTTGCAAAACTCGCCGCATTTGATGGCGCACTCCTTGTATATCAGCATGAGCTGTCGCGGGTCGACGGCGTCGACACCCTCCTGCCTAGTGTGCGCGGCATACTCGGCGGGGGTATACTCCATGGCGCCGAAAGCATAGACGACAAAGGCGATGCCAAGCGACTCCCAGCGCAGGTTCCGGCCCGAAAAGGACGCAAGCCAGTCTTGGGGCTCGTGGATTTCCTCGTCCAGCGCCTTGGACGAGTTGGCGCAGATGAGCTCGGCCATGGCAGCGAGGCTTTTCCGAGTGCGGCATGCCAGGTGCTCCCCAAACGCGCCCCAGATGGAGGCGATGATGTGCATCATGGCAGGTCTCACCCAGCCGTCCATGGGACTGTAGTTGCGGTTGTACAAGAGCTCGCCGATGTCAGCAGGGGGGATGGACCTGAGCACGCGTATGTAATCTTCCATCTTTTCCGGGCATATCCCCGTGCTCGCGGCGGGGGTCGACTCGGCACCGACGGTCAGCTCCGAGCGGCCACGAGGGCCGGTCGACGGGGGAGTCCACTGCTGCGCATTGGCCATGTAGGCCGGGTGCTGCTGTTGAGCGGCCGATGGGCTGGCGAACTGGTCGCCGGCCTCGGCAAAGACGGCCGAGAAGCTCGTCGGGCCAAGATAGCCGGGCGAGTCACAGCCACTGGTCGGGGGAGACATGGGTGCTGGGCTCTCTTCGCGACTTCCCTCGATGCCGGAGCTGGACGGGGAGCGCGTCGGCGAAGGCCGTGCCGACGGCGGCGCGTGGCGGTCCGGTGGCACAGCCCTGGGGGAGATGGTCGACCTCCTTGCGGCGCTGCCGGAGGCCGTGCCGGTGATCAGGTAGACACAGCCAGCCTCGGCATTCCTGCGCCTGCACCTCTGGCAGGAGGGCAGGGAATGGTCGCACGCCAACTTGCGCTTTCGACATGGCTCACTGCGGATGCGTCAGGGTGTGAGTCACCTTGGCAGACGGGTTGATAGGGAGGGCTCTGGCTCACACACCATGCCTGCTGGCGGCCGTTGCGTCGTCGCGGGACCGAGCTCGGAGCGGCGTTAGGTTGTGGCTCCATGGCAAACGGGCGATGGCGCGCGTGCGCCACGTACCACCTATCGTGGGGTCTCGGCCACTTCACGAGGGGGCGGAGATGGTTGGCGCTCGATCAGGAAAGGGAGTCTTGCCTTTGCGTCTTGTCCACCCCGTGACGGATGCCTTTTCCAGCCTTGCCGACAAGCTTTGTGGCTGAATGAAGCGCACAGATGGAAGATGCCAGGACTGGACGGGAATCATCTTTGGCAAGAAATCTGGGCCTCAAACTAACAATGACAGAATATGCCATCCCGACGAGACCAAACTGGGCGGCATCTCGACGCGGCGCTCGGTGCTCGGCTCAAACTGGGTCGGGACAATCGAACTGCGAGTCTGACACGGAGTCGGTGCTCGGCTGGAAAGGAGCAAATGCAGGGACTGCAGCTGCTGACGTGACTAATACGGCCATGTATGCACCACATGCGGGGCAGGCTCCGCAGGGCGTCGTACACTTGGGGTGCTTGTTTCCATGGCGCCAAAATCCAAAATCAACGTCGCGCTCTGGAGATTGGCCGTTCAAGTGCGATTGATTACACGCGGAGCTGCGCCGAGAAAATAGGAGCTGTTCCATACCTGACCCAGCCTTGATGCCACGGCACTGTGGCAGTGAATAGGGTAGGTCGGGTACCATCCAGCTAGGCCAATCTGAAATGAAATGGAGTTTGGTATCTCGGTACAGATACCCGCCCATTGCTGTCACAACCCTGTCGTCGTCCGTGTGAGCCAGGGCGGGGCATGCCACGAACAATTGATCAACCGGGGTAGACCGATGGATGAGTCTATCGGCGCCATGCAACCACCTCCAGGAAAATGGGGCTGTCCGGCCTATTCCTAGGCCACCACCATCGGCCCTCGGATTAGTGTTTGCTGAAGAGCGACCTTCTCTTGAAGAGTCACCGGCACTGCGATGGCACGCGTTACATCTAGCTTTGAGTATAAGACCTTGCTTGGCCTGCTTGGACCTGAGGCAGCTTTCCTCTGCTATCATCGGCCCATCCTCCAACTGTATCTCAAGCCTACGAGGCCATCTCATACATCATCGAGATATCAAACAAGAATCCACCATCGCCGCACACCACAACGAAATACAACACCTGCCTGCAACATAGGCACCTACCTGCACTACCCAACCATCCACCCATACACATAAACACAATGGCTCCATCACACCACGCCCCCGTCCTCCCCTCCGGACCGACCACCCCTACGCCTTGGACACCCGAGGGCTTCCCTTCCGCCAGCACCAAGTCCGAGCCGTCCACAGCCGCCGCCGCCGCCGCCGCACCGGCCGTGCTCGCAAGTTCGGCCAGCTCCGTCATGACGGCCCAGACGGACAGCGCCGACACCGTGGCCAGCAAGAAGAGCTGGCGATCGGTCTTCAAGAGCTCCAAGAAGTCGGGTCCCAGCAGCACTAAAGAGACGAGGGACGCGGACGCGGCCAAGGCTGCAAAGTCGAGCGCCGACGTCCACGAAGCACGGGCTGCCTACTTTGCCAACAGTATGATCTCCTCCAACCCGCAGAATCTGCATTGATTTGCAGGTTGTTGTTGACCATTGTTTCCATCCTTTTCCTGCTAAAAGGGTGCTAGAGATGTAGCCTTTATTTCCTTCACGTCTCCGGGACTGTGTCGAGGGCAGAATTCTGTAATCGGCGCAGCGTAGAACTGTTTGATTTTGCATTTAGCACAGAGTTGTCATGCTGCTTTAACCTTGTTCGGTTTCTTTTCCGCTACCTTGTTTCTACAAATATCATCGCCTCTTTATTTCCTTTTTTACTCGTTTTTATTCTTCCTGTTCTTATTTCCTTTTTTCTTTCTTTTTTATTGTTATCCCTAGTATTACTATTCCTTTTGCTTTTATAGTTTGTTTTGTTCTTATTTTTGCTCTTATCTCCCTCGCGGCCTTTCTGTAATTTAGGTAGGTTTAACTACTATATGTTTTGTAATAAGCGTGCCTCCCAAGCCGCGATTGCATCATTGTAGGGGGCAACCCCGACGATGAGGACGCTGCGGTCCCGCGTCTCGTCCTGATCCCGTACATTCGCTGTACCAATATAAGTCGGGTCGGTGTCGCGTTGTGCCCTTATTCTTTGCTAACCTTCGGCGACAGGTTTGTAGGCGTTATGTCTCGACTTTTAACTTTTTGCCTTTTTCCGTTTTGCTAACGATAGCCATAGGCAAGCAGCCTCTCTTTTCTCTTCCGCCCACATCCTTTACTTTTACCAAATGTATCGTTCACACTTCATAGCAAATCAGGCCCATCTCTCCATCTCTGGGCGTTAGATTATAACGACTAAGCCGGACTCGCCGCCCAGCAAGCACGCCTCCCCATTACACACGATAATTACATTCCCAGTAACGCATCGGCCGACCACTCCGGTAATAAAGGTGAACGTTCGGGTTGCTTTCCCCAAGGGTTCTAAGCCTTACATCCTGCATCAACAAGGCGGCTATGCTAGAGTGTGCATCGGTCCCGCCACGGCCGAAGCTCGCTTGGAGCGACCCGATTTCGGAAACGCGGCAATGTAGACAGATGCCCCGACGCGGATTGAAGCTCACCCGGACCGGCCCGGCGTCGGGCGCGCAGCGGCACAAGCTGATCTTTCGGCGTAGACGGGCGCCCAGAATGGCGGGGACGCCGACCACCCGCAAGCCTACGTCCCACAGGAGCACCCGTTGATGCCCAAACAACTGGAAATTCTGCGCACCATCTACGCCTGCCACACCTGCCACTGCCATAACAAACCCGGCCCTAACAGGTCGGGCACTGGCAATCCTGACCCTCAAGGTCGGGGCCTAGAGCGGGGCGCGCCCCGTGTTATTTCCACCGCGTCCACCGAGCCGCATGAGCAAGACATCATCGAAATCATAGTAGAGGTTCTATCCACCCCCAGACCTTTTATTGCAATCGTTATTGCTTCCTGGGCCATGGTTTATTTTGTGGCAAAGTGCGGTATCTGGAAGTCGCAATCCAAGCTACAAGTCGGGCTGGGCCTGGCTTTTTGTGTTGGATTGTGGCTGAGGTCGATCGCCGAAGCCTACCTACTGCATATCTGCGAGGACTGCCATAGAGGAATCTGACTCACGTGGGGCCACAGAACAGAAGGCGGAGAGCCTGACAAAGAAAGGTAGGTAGGTAGCCCAGCAGCAGAAGTAGTAAATGATGCGTAGCATCATTTTGGGCACGTCTGCGAGGATGCCTTCTTCCCCACCCAGGCAGCACGGAGTGGGAGATACGTCAAGGTTGGTGGCAGTGGAAATGAGCCAATAGGAAGGCGGGATGAAATCCGGAGAATAGCTGGCCGAGGATCAGGTTCAATTCCATCGGCTATGCAGCTTCCTGCCCACATGGACACATGGACCCATGGTTGGGATGCGCGCTTATGGTAGTGGTTGCATCGGTATATGCGACATCGCCCTGGGACGACACCAAACCACATTGCCTGGCACGGGTCCAAGTGATCAGAATGGTTAGTGCGGTGGGACAGTTTCTTTCAGGAATGGGGATAAAAATAGGAACGAGAACGGGAAAGAGGATAGGAAAAAGGACAGGAAAATGGGTATCCAAGGAAGTGGATGAGAATATGACAGGGAGAAATTGCGAACAGGAAGGGAAGAATACACACCTACGGCACTAACAATCCCGATCTTTGGGACCTGGCAGCCTTTCCATTCAAGCCACCTACACGGAGGGGTATAGGTACGGTGTAATGGCGCCATTCGTTTGAACAAACAGGGAAAGCCATATTTGATGTTCCGCGTTGCTTAGCACACTGTGTCTCGAAGCGGCCGTAAAAGCCATATCAGCCATCCACCTGATTCCGCTGGCACATGTCGTTGTTCCTCATTGTTAACCACGCCATACCCAGCCCCGACCTGTCGCCTGCTCTGTCGTAATCATCGGACCAAACTCAGCAAAAAATCTAAAGCAAACGAGACCATGAATACGAAGACTAGGACGGTGACGAGGAAGCCCCTCATGCCGCAACAGGGACACCCGTCGAAGGCGCTTTGGATACTGTCGTTGCCCCCTTCCAGCCGCCTAGCCCTCGGGAGACTTCTCGGTACCCTGGGTGCTGCAGTTGCGCTCATCGCCTGCCTTGTTTGCACGGCATGTCTCGTTCGACTACCAGCCATGGCGCCCATCCTCTCCTTCGTCCCACGGGTTCCCACCCCTGGAATCCCCATCGCCATCTTCTCCGCCAAGCCCAGCCGGAAAAGTTCAAACCGAACAGCCACGCCACCCATCGCCGGGCCCCCAGAGGACGCCGCCGCCGCCGCCGCCCACTTTACCTGCGACGAGTCCCACCCCTACCGCATCGAGATCATCTCTGCCTCGCCCCTCGTCATCTACATGCACAACTTCACCTCGGCCCGCGAGGCCGCCGCGCTCGTGCGCGCCGGCGAGCCCCTCCTGGCCCCATCGCGCGTGGACCAGCCCGGCGGGCACCGACAGGTGGCGACGGCGCGGCGCACGTCGTC